GAAGCCTAAATGAAGTTTCGACGTGGTCCGAAGAAGGTTGAATAGCTAATGTCTGTCAGCGTATCCGGCATCAGTATTTAACCCACAAGAGGCATCGGATCTTAAATGAGTCAGTAATGATGGTAAGATGTTGCCACAGGTCGGTAGGCTGAAGTTGTACCAAATGCGTCCGTGCTTTTTCGTGCTTCATAGGCTGGGGAGGACAGAGTTACCTAGCCAGTAGCAAAAGAAAGCAGAAAACAGGTTGGTAAGCTCTATGAGAAATTTAAATGGGGAAAATGGCCACTGACAAGAAGCTGATAGGGTGATTTCTGGGTGAATTATTATGCCACTAGAAAGAGGGAAATCAAATAATCGCAAAGAAGACAAAGGTGAGCACATTTCTAAAGCGTTCTGGAATTTTAGGCGTGTAGAAAAGTCCGTTCACATTATCTCTACTTTAGCTTCTGATTACATGCTGCGAGAATTTAAGCACCCCACAATCCGTCTCTCAGAAACACCACTATGTGAGCCAGAAATTGATGTGTTGTCATGGGAAATTATCTGAACGGCGTAATTTCTGGTCTACGTCAAATGGCGTCTAGTTCTCCCGGAAGGACCCAGCCGCGCTACTAACGCCATATCAGATTAGATTTCTCTTGCAGTTTTTCATTCTGATAATCTCTGTCATTGCTCTCACTACTGTTATTACTACTCTGTCCAACCGGAAGCTGCCACCCTTTTGTGTTCGTCGGGCTTCAGTTCAGCAATGATCCTACACGCTACAGTGACTGGGCTTCTTTCCTCAAGGTCGTGCCATACCAAAAAGGTTAACGGTGAACAGTCGGAGGAAGAGGAGCGTGTCCCTCTGCTAACAGCAACATTAGTGCGAGTTAGAGGACGAACTCTTACTGTTTGCCTTGGCGGGAGTATGAGGAGAGGAAGGTTGTCTGGCGATAAGTATCCCCATACTATTGGAGGCAGCGATGCAGTATTTCGCCAAGGAAGGATGGGTTGGAAAAGATCGGCTCTAAAACCACACGCTTCGACTGCCTAATAGTTCACTGTGACTGTCGACTCATCATCTCACACAGTCGAACTACCTATTAAGGCCAAGAGTTCAATGTGGCTCAAAATGTATCATCTATGCGCAGCAGCGTTAGAAGTCAGGTAGTTACGCCTTAACCACAGTGCTCTCGGGCTAGGTCAGCCGTCTACCTCCAGTGGATCAGGCCTGCGAGTTGCTGACATCCATAAAACTGCATAGAGAAAAGAGAATCGGCCATTGACTTACAGGTTGGACGCTTGAAGCAAAGGGAGGAAAGGGGCTAAAAGCTACTTGAGGTTGGAAAACTGCACCAGTTGGCAACTACAAACGACAAGTCAAAACTGGGAACCCGATAACTCTCTTCGACAGCAATGGAAGCGACAGACCTGAAGCCAAGGGTTTGGAACGCTGTTGCATTGAGATAGCTGCACTGAGCAAAGCACCGTTGTTCTACCAAGAAATACTGCAGTACGCTGGTTGAACATTCCGAACAGTCTGAAACTTCAAAGGATGGTCAATGGGATACTGGAGTCGGATTTGCAACGGTCAATCATATGAATGGAAGCATATTGATAAACCGAACTTCGTCCGTTCAAGGGAATTGATCGTCCGGCTACGAACTTCAAGGAGAATTTTTGAAACTTGTAGGTTTGTGAGCTGCTACATCTTCCTCAGAAGCTGAGCAGGAAGAATTCAACGAGGAGTTATCAACTGTCATCGCGCGCATCCGATCAACTGATCGCCTATTGTTGATGAGTGATCTGTAGCGGTCACCCACTTGATCACCCGTCACAAACACTCAAACCTGGTGCCAATTCCTGTCCTACTTGCAATCCTAGCCGACAACGTGTACACTACAACTTCCTATCCATTTTGTTTACGCGGGTAAAACTGCGTTACACCACCAGGCTTACGAACTTCAACCACATCAGGTCACCAAGTCTCACGGCCGGAACTCCACTCAGGAACTCTCAATAAGTGTCCTCAAGCGATAAGTTATTTTTTGACTCATTCCACTTTTCGCATTGTATCTATTTTTACCAAGTGCACCCAACTATTGTGTTCATCATCATTCTGGTGAAACAGACATTTGTTAGTGCTTGTTACCCTCTGATAATCAACTTCATTACGTCACAACTAGAGTACTAACAAATCTCAGCGCCCGAATAGCTCTTGACAGAGATAGATAGAAAAGGCAATTGGATTGTTTGGAACCTGGGCCATGAAAGTGAATGACTGGCTGGCGTTTAGTAGCGATGTAGGCACGGAATTTTCCACAACTAGAGTACTAACAAATCTCAGCGCCCGAATAGCTCTTGACAAACAGAGATAGAAAAGGCAATTGGATTGTTTGGAACCTGGGCCATGAAAGTGAATGACTGGCTGGCGTTTAGTAGCGATGTAGGCAACCACGGAATTTGCCAACATTAATGCGCGTTCCAGTGCCAGGAAAATGTTCATTACGAACTGCTTAATAGGTGAGGATAGACATCTTTTAGATTAAACCACTATCCGACAAAGTATCTGGAGGACGAACAGTGCACTAATGCTGTCCAAAACTCAACTGGCTTTGGAGAAAACTCCACGTCGTGTGACAACTTAACTGTCTACTAGCCTGGATTTGAAACTGGTGTTGGATAGGTCAACACCACAGAAGTACAATTAAGCAGTTTGATTGCAGCTCTGTTTACCGGGTTTGGTGGCTGCAGTACAAACGTTCCATCTTCACCAGTCGAGGTGATATCGTTACTCAACCCTGCGCTGACGATGTCACCTCGATTGGTGATGAGACATTTGCAATCCAAATGCCAAGCTCAGAGAACAAGCAGAGCACCCGAACTATCTATGTCTGTCTATATCTTCCTTGATCGGTGAGAAGAATACGACTTTTATGAAGATGATACAGCAAATTTAGGTTTATTAGCACGCGAGAAGTTTTACACAGTGAGGACCGAACTACTGAATCGTCGATGTAGACTGCAGAATGAACAGTGGGTTAAAAATAACCAGCAGATCCACGTGTGTGCAGATCAAGGATATCAAAAGGAATTCTTTGGAGCATTGAAAATAACCTTCGGACCGAAAACCCAATACCTCAAATGCATCATGGACAGACCGAAAGCTCAACAATTATGGCGACATGCTGGCTGCTTGAAAGGTACATTTCCCAACATTACCTAACTACCTATCAAACTTGCATTTTGACTACTTCGCCTCGTCTCTTTGAACATGAACCTATCCAGTCCGCCTATGGAGGTTGAACTTCAAAAGGTGATAACTGGACCACAAAACGGAAAGGCTGCTGGAGAAAACGGCAAGCCTGCCGAATTTCCGAAATTGGATGAGTCGGTATTAGGAGACGAAGTTTTTCACCTGAATTTTTAACAAACTAGAAGATAGAGAATGTCCCCTAAGAGTTCAGAGAGGTTGCAATCGTACAAGCAAAAGCTTGGCACATATCCTACTCAACCGCCTGAGAGCTAATATTCCTAGGAGAAATGTGGATCCTGAAGCAGACGAAACACGACTGACCTTGTTGGTAGTGTGATTAACTCGCACTTAGACAGGATATAGCGCCGCTCATCTTTCATTCACGGGATCCACGTGATTGAAGGATGAGCCGCACTATATCCTGTCTAACAGTGAACTGATCACAGAAGGATGAGCCGCGCTATATCCTGTCTAACAGTGAGCTGATCACACTGCTGATCGGCTACTCGTGGCCGAACAGTCAAGTGCTCAAACTGCTATCCAGAAGGTCGGGGATTCGAGACTCTCCGGAGCTTGGTGAGATGTGCACTGCTGATGATTACCAATAAGGATGAAACAGCTGTACAGTGCTCCTCGGCTTTTGAGCATAGATTGGCTTAAATTACAGGACAAAAACTCCACAAGACTGATCTTATGTCTTCAGTGTATCAGTTGCAGCTGAACGAACACTGTATTGGAAAACCTTTCGAAAACTTTTAGAATAAGTCAGGAGAGAGACGCTGTAGATCGCGACGAAAAGTTCGTCTAACTCAAAAAACGTCACAGTCATCAAATTTGGTGGTCCGAGTACGTATCTGTGGAACCGTCTGCCGAGTTCGAAGCTGACCGCGTAATGAAACGAGGTCGCTTTTTGGTTGCTTTCTGATGGGGATTTGTACCGTGATTATGCAGATGAGGCACCGATCAGTTCAATCTAGATGTCTACTTCAATGGCTTCAAACGATTGATAGGAAAACTGAGGATGTAAGAGTCAAAGCTACTTATGTTGCATTTTTCAGACCACTGTGATTAATGGAATTTGCCTCGGCAGAATTTCCAAATTATCACATGGAGATGTCATGGAATCGTCTAAGCAAGTCATTGTCATTTTTCGTCAAAAGGTGCTAAAATGAAGTCTGATCCGATTTCCA